TCTCTCTCTCTCTCTCTCTCTCTCTCTCTCTCTCTCTCTCTCTCTCTCACACACACACACACACACACACACACACACACACACACACACACACACACACACACCACGAGCCGGATCCCTCTTTGTTCCCGGCTCGAGTTTCTGCCTGGCTCGCTGGCTCTGTTACTCGCCTCTTTCCCCGCCTCCCCTCTGTCAAAGCAAAGAGCTGCCGGTGGCCCCACGGCTCCTCCAGGCCGCCGGGAGGAGAACACCCGGAGCGTGGCCGCTTGTAAGGCTCCGGGCGAGTCCGGATGCCAGGGCCCACGGGAGCGCAGCCGGGTCCCTCCGGTGTGCGCTGCCCAGCAGGTGAGCGGTTGCGCCTTCCCACCGCTTCTCCTCGCCGCGCCTAGCCGGCGCTGCAAAGCTATTCACTTGCGTCGCTTCTCCTCCCCCGCCCCTCCCCCGCCCCCTGCTCTCCTTGGCTGCTGGTTGGAGGGGTGGGGAGAAAGGAGTCAGCTTGGAGGAGGAGATCCAGGTTTTCCCCCAGCTCTAGTTCTTTTCCCAGCACCTAGAGGACAAGTCATAGTTTGGGGGCCGCCGTGGGGTGCATGCGTGTGTGTGTGTGTGTGTGTGTGTGTGTGTGTGTGTACGCGCGCGCGCGCGCGTTCATGTCTTGAGAAGAGAAAAAAAACGCAACCTGGAGAAGGAACGGGTGCTGCTTGTAACCCACCCCAAAGCACGCTGTTGCCGAGGTGAAAATGACAAGAAACTCTACCTGAAAGGCTTAACTTCATCATCTAAGCATCTCTTCTTCTCTTGCCCCCACTCACTCCTGTCCTTTGCCGGTCTCTCTCTCCCACCTCCTTTCTGCCGCCCACTCTAGTCCCCTCACTCAGGCAAGGGGGAGGAAGATGAAAGAGAAAGCCGCCGGCACTGTGGTCGACACCACGTTGATAGATGCTCTGACAGAGGGAATGAAGCGAGAATTAGGGACTAGGAGAAGGAAAAACAGAAAATGTAACACATTGCTCACCTAAGCAGAGAGAAGAGACCCAGCAAGCACAAGGAAAAGAGTTGTGGCTGCACTAAACGTATATCACACGCTCTTCGGAGACAAGGGAAAATAAAATCTCCAGGCTTACCAGGGGGAAATGGACCAGGAAAGAAGGGAGCGAATGAAGACTGGACCTTAATTATCGCTTTTAAAGCACTATTGCTTTCATTGTGTCCTTACCATCGAACTACGTGAATTTTCGGATATGCAAAGATTCCGTGTGTAGAAGATGAAAACGCATCCCAAAACGAGGGAGAAGGACCTAAGAGAGGGAGGCATGACTGCGCAGTTGCTGACATCCTGGACAACAACGCTGAAAGGGACCCTTGAGAACGTAAATCCGAATCCAACCTCAAAAATTCCCCAGTTCCCACTCTCTCTTTGATGCATTTTGTAAAAGGATAGGACTTCTTTTTTTTTTTTTTAAGGGGATCGCTTTGTGAAAGTTAATGTGTGAGGCTTAAGTTTGGAAACACATTACATTTTGTCCCTTAGCTCTTAACCCCTCCCCTCAGTCAAATATTCAGGCAATATTACTGCACCAATGCGGTAGCCATCTCTAAAACCTGGGAACAGTAAACAGGCGACGGGAAGAATTGTATCTCCATCTTCCTTAAATTGAAAATAGCATAGAGAATTATGTGTTAGTGTCATTACATAAGAACGCTTAGGCAAAGATCTCTCTTTGAAAGGTGAAATTGTGGGCATTGTAGACTTTAACAGTTCTTTAAGTAGGCATTTAAAACTTTGCTTACAGATAACTGCCAGTTTAAGGGCATGCTAGGAAGTAGTTTTCAAAGCTATACGTCAGTTCAGTTAGTCCCATAGGTAATATGTAATTAATAGGTAATACGTCCCAGATGGTCATATGTAAACTAATAGATTTAGAAACAACTAAGACGCTGGCGAAAGAAGTCAGAAAAACGAAAACTTTTTTTTTAAAATTAAATAATCGACAAAGCTATTCTTCCCAGAAGAAAACTGAAAAATGGCATTGTACTTCAGTGTGTCAAGGAGAATAATGAGGAGGGTCGGGAATAAATCCATTTTTATAGTGATGGTATGTAACCTCCATTGCTGTTAATGTGGTAGGCGAGGAGAGGGGCCACAGTTTTAGACATTTATAGCTCCTGCTAACATAAATTTAACAAAGTCAGAATTCCTCCTCCGAGTGCGCCAATTTGTGCAAAAGAACCCGGGAAGATGTAGTTTCATCAAAGCAGCCCGAGTAGATCGGTCCTTTTCATCAAACCCAGAGGGGGAGGGGGCAAGAAGAATGGCCAGAGGGTATTTTTTGAAAGCCAAGAGGAGATTAAATGACGACTCTACATCTTCCCTGTTTAAGTGTTGCAACTAATTCGAATTCCCATTTTCTCCCTCGCGTTAATTATCTGGACTCTGTGAGTCATACGGAGCTCAGCTCCAGGTGTCCCGGAGATTAGGAGCTCAAGAAGATGGGGAATTTTGGCGCAATACCTAGCAAGAACGGTTTACAAAAAGGCTGAGATAGGTGGCTGCGTTTGGTACCTTGCGGTAACCCTCCTTGGAAACATTGGCTCTAACGAAAGCACCTAATGGCCTCGCTCTGTGTGCGTGGCGGTGAGTGGTCTCCTCAGTGTGCTGTCTTTAGCAGTGTTCCAAATCTTAGATAAGGGCGCCCTTAAAACCATGCGCCCACATGTTTTCGAGCTTTGACGGCAAAGGAGGGTGACTTTTCCCTGTGAAATCTGCCCCTCTTAAGAGAGAAAAGCAAGGAGATGCAGGAGGGGCGAAGTAACCCCAGGAAGTGGTGTCTCTGGACTTTGCTTTCCTGGCAAAGGCATTCCAGCCGCCTGGCAGTCTCTCCTAATTCCTGTGGGGCTGTTATTAGCATAAGCAGCCGCTTCTTCGCTTCTTGGGGTAGAGCGAGTGGGAGCCTAGGTCTGGGATGTGGTGGGTGCGGTACAAAAGCAGCCCCGCCGCCCCCTTTCCTCGGATGTAGAGGCAGGTTATTCGTGTGAACTCTAGCGAACCACTGGAGGTTGGCTGTAGTAGGTTTACTCCTTCAGGATGTGGGTTTCAGGGGGCGTTTTGATGTGATTTAATTCCGACCGTGAAACAATTGCTAGGGGCTGGCTCCGTTGCTGTTGGTTTCTCCCCTCCTGGTGGCATTGGGTTTAGTTTGGGAGCGAACTTGTTTTATATCAACACTTCCTTTTGCACAAGGCGCTGTCGCGGGTGCTGTGCCTCTGAGTAGGGGTGGGAATGGGGAGGGGGAGTGTAGAGGGAGCCAGGCGCCCAACCTCACCCAGGCTGCGGGGAGCAGAGTTGACCGTGCTGACCTGAGGTGCGCTTAGCCTAGTGGGCCGCGGGGGATGGGGGGCGACAGGAGGAATGACCCAGACCCACACTAGACCCCTCCCCCACTTAGCGATTTTGCAGCTAAGTGGAGTCCACTGCAGACGGTCCAGCGTCCTTAATTACAGGGATGAGAAGCGCAGTTCCCCCGCACAGCCCTCTCCACCCCCTAGGTCCTAACCCCGTCTTCTTTTTGTGTGGCCTAGACTCTCTGCCAGCTGCAACCTAGGTGGGATCCCAAAGGAAGGAGGTGGCGGGGCCTACGGAAGAAGATGCTCTGAAAGACAGCCGAGAAGGGACTAGAAAAACGAATTCATGTGATTCCAGGGGCGGAACCGAGACCCCGGTTTCCCACCCCAGCTTCGGCAGGAGGCTCAATCTGTGGGCACCCTTCAGTTTAACCGACGTCGCGGAGAAGGGGGATGAGGGAAGTGGCAGTTTGTGTCCCAAGGGCTCTTCCGCCTTAGACAAACAAACCCAAAGCCCCCTCCTCCAGGGCCAGGGAACTCGTGGGACCGTGAAAACCTGCAGACACCGGGTTTCCGCGCGACCGGCGCCCGTTGGCGTCTGTCATGGCCTCCCGGGCGGGAGGGCAACTCGAGCGCGGGACCCGCGGCGGTCAGCACTGTGTACCCTCCTCGAGGGAGCCCCATCCACTCTGGTCCGTGGGATGTCAACCCCAGACCGGAGTGCCATGCCAGCCTGGACGGCGTGGAGCTGAGGGTGGCTGAGGGCAGACGGTGGAGTGGACAAGCAGGGTGGACACGGGGGAAACAGAATGAATCAGAAGGGATGCGGAGGTTCGGCTCTGCACCGGTAAGTGGAAATCCCGCACCTAGGAGCCCGCGTGACATAGGAACGAGGGGACACCGCACGTGGACTTCGGCTCTGGTACACACGTGCCAGCGGGGAACCGCTAGTCTAGGGGGCTCAAACATCACATTCTTTTCCTCCGTTTCTCAAAACTTTTCTCACTCCCCTTAATATGGCGTGGGCACCGGCTTCTAGAAAGCAGGCCCCTCGGTCTCTCTCTGCGGTCTCTCGGCCCCCTCCATCCGCCCTGGAGCCGGGATGCGCGCGGAAGGG